GGGGGGGGGTTGACTGACATTGTTTTTATTAAGCTTTTACTGCTTTTGTAAGCAAATCAGTTTGACATGATAGTTTTAAAAATGTATTCCAAAGAAAGGAAGATATAAGATTTCTTGTTTCACCAAATGGATATTAACATACAAAATGAATAGCCTAAAAAAATCAACTCTAAAGATAAGCTATTAGATGAACACAAATATTTTAGGCCTGGCTTCAGGGTGGGGCCCCCTGTAACCCATGTCAGGACAAGGACATCAAGATCCTATTTATCTTCTGTCCATGTGAGTATTGTGAATCACTCACTGTCTGGCCTGTCACCTAAGATCAATCTGCCTTGGAAAATCATATTGGGGCAATTGCCCTGAAAGTATAGTTCCTAACATTACATCTAGTGGTGCATGATGATTTGGCAACAAAATGACAACAACAAAAAAACACACACTCAGACATGAAGACCATTACATGATTCTTCACTACCATCAAAAGTGGTCAGTTACAACGATCATTTTACACTAGACTGCAATGCCACTAAAAGGTCTCAAATAAATAATTCAGAACATCTCTGGTGTTTGCAGGGTATCTTGTAAGGTCTTGGAGGATTAGAACAGAGGGGTTCCCTTTATGTATGATTAGTGGTTTTGATCATGCACAAAACCTTTGTGTCAAGGTCATGGTGGTTTATCAGTGTGGTGGCAGAGAATCTAAGATCTTGGGTAGAGCATGGCAGCAGTGCACATATGACCCTGGGGCCATGTGCAGCCAAGTAGATGGTTTTGTCATTGATAGTCTGAAGCAGGATAGGCTATGCGGGCTTCATGTCTATGCTACACCTGTCACGGTGACAAGGTCATGGGAACAACCAAGCACAGATGGGATCTTCAAGAACGTAGTTGCATGTGGTATGAAAAATGTCAGGGGCCAGACACCTCAGGGGGTGGTGAGTGTTTAGTACCCCCCCCCCCCCCCCTCAGAAAAAACTAATTATTTGTTGTGTACAAAGAGAGGAGCATTGTCATGACTGCCTTCACACTAAAGTTGTGAGACTGTACTTTGAACGTGAATGTTGTTTTGGAGATGAGTGTTTTTCTGGACTGGAATTAAACAGCGAATGTAAGTAACCTTCATGTTTTTGGTGCAAGATATTCAAGTGGTGAGGAATTAAACCGTGGAGAAGATCAGAGAGAGGTTTACATTTATTTTTACTAGTCCAAGGCAGTACGTACAGAGTGACAGATCCTGGAGAGTGGATGGAGCAATTTTATCGACAGCCAGGTGCAGTGGTGGCCTTGGCCCACATAGATTAATCTTCTGCCACCCCAATCATTTGCAGAAACTATACCTTTAAGCAACAAAGTCCATGCTCAATAATCCAGGTATACAATCCAACATTTTTCAGTCAGGTCAATTCACTTTAATTGATTCACTGATGAAGCCTTCCGGATCGAAGGTGAAACGTTTCAGCACAAAAAAAGAAAATGTCCAGATGACCTGACTGAAAAATGTTGGATAGACCTTTAAGCAATATAACAACTAGAAAGAATAGTTTCCTGAAATGATCGGGGTGGCCAGTTTACATACACATAAGGCAGCAGCTATCTTGAATTTTGATTTTGCAACCCAATTTTTGACAGTGACCTTTTTTGCACATAGATGCAGCTACACACCAAAATGGAAGTCGATACCTCACTTTGCCCCTCACTTATCTCCTTCCTGTTCCTCTCAAACCCAGCCGGTCGAAGCAGATGACCACTTGTCCTGAGTCTGGTTCTGCTGGAGGTTTCTTCCTGTTAAAAGGGAGTTTTTCCTTCAACTGTCTCCTTTGTGCTCGCTCAGAATGGGAGACTGTGATGAAGTGAGGATTCAACGCAATCTGCTGCTTCTTTAGATGTTACTAATTGGTTTTTGTATGTATGTGAATTTCTTGTTCAGTGCTCTGAGACGACTTCTGTTGTGATTTGGCGCTATATAATTAAAGTGAATATAAACTGAATTAATTTTCAAGTTATCCAGCTCACAGCACGGCCAGATGAACAGAAGGTATTTCCAATTCCCCCTCCTCACTCCTCGATGAGAGACAAAAACCAGTTCACTCTGTCTGTTATAAAACATGAAGGTGGGTAGAAAATGTCACACTTTGCCCATCGCAGCACCTCATTAGTGACCTCATGTATTTAGTAGCTCAGCACACGGAGGCTGGGGCCTCGGGTGAGGGTGGGAAATACAGTGTGTGGAGTGAAGGGTGTTACTGTAAGACAGCTGGATGAGCATGTAGGCTGATTTATAATGAACAAAACTAAATCTAGTACATGTTTGAACTGTCAACGCAGGATAAAAATGCAGCTGTTGTTAGAAACAGTGCCTGCCCCATCAACCAGTTAAGGAAAAATGATTATTTTTAAACATGCTACAAAAACAAAGCAAAGGAAAGAAATAAAAAACAGACTCAGACTGACTAAAGAGCAAAAATTACGAATTAGGATCTGCACATGAGTGATCAATACTTCTTCTTGTGCATCAGTAAACCCCGAGACCCACCAGGTTCTAATTCTGCTGAAATGATTCCCTGCAGTATGAAGCTGTACCTCATCATCATCGCTGGCGGAGCCTTGGTAGTCGGGTTCAGACGTCTCCTGCAGCCTCTGGTACTCTGCCGTCTCTCCCATCGTTGGCTCTGCAGCACCTTCCCTGGAGCTCAAAGACCTCAACCAGCCAGTCTGCCTGCTACGAGCTCCATGCCATCAGCAGGAGGACAGGTACAGCACGGTGCACACAGCGTCTCCTCAGATCCTTCAGATCACAGGAAGACCCATAATTTGCACTGTTGGATAAACTCGTCCTGGGATTCCACCTTGATTCTCTCTATCATTCAGGCCGAGTCAACATTTGATGAAACCAGATGAATATCGAGCTCCTCATTGTTTCCCATTAATGACGCATTTTTGTCTGAATTCCTCCCACAGGCAGCAGACAACAGCACTCCATGCAGATCAGACTCAGTTTCTTCTTGCTGAAGGATTGTAGAAGACAATCAGAAGCTTCTGTCGTCAGCAAGAACCTGCAAAGTCAAACAGATTATTCCCATTTCATTTTCTCTCCTCTCCCTTGTTGCTGTCCAGAGGTGCTGTCCAGGTGTGGCGTAGAGGGGGATAAATCCAGCAGATTTGTGTTATTGTCTCTGACATTTCCCTCCAGTCAGGCTCTGGTTCGGAGTTGCTCACCTCTGCTGTCACCACCTCCCCCTCTGCTTGTTCATCTGGTCTTCCTGCTGACGCACGCTCCTGACATCCAGAGATCCTCCTCTGAGACTCTCCCCCTTCTTATTATTCACAGGCACCACTCTAAATCCTCTTACTCATCCATTTCCCAGCTGAAAGGGGGCTGCTTGTCATTTTCTACCTGTGGTAATTTAGTCCTCTTTGCACATTTGTTGTTCCTCCAACATCTCCACTGAGACTGACAGCTCCGCTCTGAACATGACTGCATGACGACATGTGTGTGTGTGTGTGTGTGTGTGTGGGGGGGGGGGGGGGGGAACTTTATATCTGCACTACCCCACGGGGGTTTTCTCCTTTGCGGGTATCGTTATTGCCCCCCCCCCCCCCTTTTTTTTTTATTTCATCTGCCTCTAACCCACTTTCCATCCACTTTGTTTTCCATTTGAACTGCAGCTCAATGATTTGGTGGAAAGGCTGCCTCCTCTATTACTGTGGCAACATGTACCGACCCCTCCTCCTCCTCCTCCTCCTCCTCCTCCTCCTCCTCCTCCTCCTCC